TTAAGCTCTTAGTCAACATCCCAAATTGTCTTAAAGTCTTTCAAAAATCCATCGTCTTCAGCAGTTTTTTTTTTCCCCTCTGGCATCCTTAGGTGAACCTCTTCCACCCTTCCTGACCTCAGATCGGTCCTGCTTGTTTTTAGCTTTACACACAAGATTATAGGCAGGAAAAGGGTGTAAACACGCGGCTGCAAGCACATAAGAGCAAACCCACTCTCAGGAAAGCGTGTAGGGACTGTGAGATTGATGGCTGAACACATTAGTGAGTAAGCCGAGTGTCTGTGCCAGTGTGGTACCTCCGTGTTTGTGTTTATCATATGTTTGTCTGGCCGGCCGTGTGAGCGAGCGCGACTGGAGGATTCCCCCCGATGACAGTCCCAATCAATCACAGCAGCCACCAAAGTGCAGAGTTCAAGAGACATTTTGGCAGCGGGATGCACTGGGGGTTCTGCCAAGGCAAAGAGACCAAACTGGAGTAATGATTGCCATTAGGCGCCTTTATGAATATTTATGGCAAACATCTGCAGCGTGAACACGGCTCTGTGAGTTGGCTGAGCCGCGTCTCGTCGATGCAGATACTGGAGAATAAAAAGGAGTTGTACATGTGATCTCTAAAGGTCTTGGGTGAGAAGCTTTCAGGTGGCAGCAGAACAAACAGGTGTACCAGATTACCCTGAACAGCTCAGGATTTCAGAGATTTCAGGGAACAAAGCACAAAAACCAACTGGATTAAGATGACACACTTCAGCTGTAATGCTGTTTTGAAATCAAATATATTCATTTTTGAAGATTGAAGGACTAAGTAAACTACAGTAGACCAATAGCGGTGGTTGAGGATTTGTGGATTTAACTAATCATAGATTTTAGAATACCTCTCAAATGCATTAAAAATAAAAAAAGCTGAAATTTGTATTAATGTATATTAGTTTATTGCACTATTAGAACAGGCAGTTGTGTGTTTTTAGAGGAATGTCCCGTTCAGACATTAACAGGTCGTTTTTATTGTCGCAGTGTAAACATATCAAAGTTCCCTTATCATCATTCAAAAGATTTATTCATCTTATTACTTTTCCATTTCCCTCTTTACTTCTCGCTATATTTTTGGAGAAATGCATAGAACAGAGTAGATCGGAACATAAACTGAGTGGAAATGACTTTGGTAGTTATGCATTGTACAGTGTTTACAAAATTCACAAGCACTGAAAACCTTTCCCAGAGAATTAGGGGATTTTGGTGAATAACCTTAAAGTGCAGACGGTGAAAACTCTTCAGCATTTTACTACTTCAGCACAAAACTGGAATTACCCTGTTGTGTCTCTGAGATAAAACTCTAGACATACAAATTTACATGTGTGGTCACCAGATGGTTCGGTCACTACGGACTCAGATATGGTTTTGAAATGACTCATATTTATCCTCACAGTGAATGTTTGTTTGAGTCTTAAATACCTGTCTGTTTCTTCATGCCAGTCTGAGAAAAAGAGTGGGCTTCCCCTGCTGACTCAGCATCTCCCCGGTCCATTGTCATTATATTACTTAGCAACTTCAGCTTTTTTACGTTACACCATGATCCTATATAACACATTGTTTAGACTTAGATGTGAAATAAGTGGAAAAACTCAAAGGTTTTAATGTTTGCAGTTTTGCTTAGCGGTTCTTTTAAAAAAACATTTTATGAAGAAAACAATTCAAATTGAGGGAAAAGACATAAAGTTTATGACACAGTTACACCCTCAGTAAAAACAGAAACAAGATAATTGAGATAACAGTGGGTGTTTATAAAGATCAGGTATTTTGTTTTCTCTCCATACAAAATACCTGATCATTTCTTAATATTAATAGGCTCTTTAGCCAAACAATAATAATGCGTGACTATGCAGAACTATTATCATTTTTGTCATTTTTCTCTATATGCCAAATAAAGCAGATACTTCACTGCAGCTGTTGTCTGAAGATTTTAACTCCCTGTCCGTCCAGCACATGTAGCATTAGCTTGAAATTATATTTCAGCCAAAACAAAAAGCTGCAGCATTTTTAGTGCAGTCATAATTACAGATTTTGTGGTGTAAATTTAGAAAGGTTTGTTAGGAATTTGTACAATATTTGAGCTGATGTATGATGTTGAATGTGATTGTTTTTTTTATTACTCCCTGTGTCAGTTATGGACTGTAAATTGACAATGTTTTGGACCAATTTTGACAATGTTTTGGACCAATTTTGAAAAAATTTGCTGTAAAATCAGAAAAAAATGTGGAGATTTGTTGAGTTTGTGAATTTGTGAAAAACTGGAGGGAATTATTGATGTAATTTGGGGCCCCAGGTCTGGCCCCCGGGCCTTGAGTTTGACACCTCTGAGCTACAGACTTTGCTATTTTGTTTTGGTTGCTCGTTCTGCTATTCATCCATATTTAATATTTCATTAAACTTGTCATTTTTATCCTCATCTTTTGGCTGAACTTTGCTCATATTTTCACTTTTCCATTTCTGACATTATGAATTCACACCAACATCATAAACTACAAAGTGGAGGATTTTTAGTGGTAGCTGCACTGGCGCCCCTTAGATTTTATACAAAATTTTCCAGTAATCGTTCTTCTTGACTATCACTTAGAAGTGTTGACAGCTTTCCAAAATGCTTGGAACTACTTTTCCTTGATCCTTGATCGAACCGAATGGATGTGGGACATTTTTGTCTTAAGTGCACTTTACATGAGATGAAACAGTCAGTCACATTTTCTGACTGATCCATGTTCAGCTGAAGTAGAGAGCTTGTTAAAACAGCACTCAGGATGTTTCAAATATTAAATCTAAATTAATCATGAATGTAAGTGGGAACAATAGGTGCTTACACACAACACACAGACCATGTTACTGTTGGATTATTTTACTTCTTATCTGGAGTTACTGTTAAAACACATGTAGCTCATCCTAACCTTATAGTTTATCTTCACAGCCACTTCAAATGGGGAAAAGTTATGAAAATAAATAAATATGAAGGCTTTGAGTAAAAGATGGAGCTGAAGCCAGCTTTTCTTTAATTTGATTTTAGCTGTTTTGTTCTCCCGCATGCCAAAAACATGGCAAGTGTTCATCATGATTAGAGTATGATGTAATGAATTGCCTGAAACGCAGAACTAAAAAGGTTCAGAGAATCCTCTGCAGACCTGCGAGGCGGGCTTGAGTTAAAGCACAGATCTGCTGCAGGACGCAGTGTACTTTTGTAATATTGAAAGAGCCCCAAACCAAAGGTGGCTTCATAATTTTTAATGAGGAGAAGTTTGGAACCACCGGTTCAGACACACAGGCAAACACATTTGTTTTTTCCAGCACCGCGGTCGCAGCGCTAAACCAGGAGCGTGTGAGAGCCGACTTGGTAAAAACAGACATGAACTGGTTTTTCTAAAACTGTCTCTCCCAGTAAATCTCTGGTCCTCCCTCTGAGGGACTCTGAGTTTCTGTGGAGGATTACGGCGCACACCGACATCAGCAGTTTGATTTAAAAACATTCTTTAAAAGAACAGGTGTTTGTGAAATCTCCTTCTGATCTGAGATCAGGTTTTATAAACAGGAGTTCCACACATTGTCTTAGTCTGGATTTATAAACAGCAGCTGGTCATATTAAAAGACTAGACAGTGTTTTTAAACCGGCTCACAAACTGTAATCACAAATTCAACTGAAAACAGTGATTATGAAAGCAGCCATGTGCATTCACCCAGACTCAGAGAAATGATAGAGGTGGAGTGAGAACAGACAGAAGAGATCATGTTCACATGATCCAAGAGAAATCTGGCTGTTAGGGGGAAACGTTGGGCTTTTCTTTCAGTGTTTTCAAATAAATCCTGATGATTTTATAAGATTTTAATTGACTTTTTGTGTCCATGAACCAACTTCAAGTGCTTAACATCTCATCTGTCAGGAAACTGAAAGTAATTATAAAAAAAAAAAAATCATGTCATGCATACATTGATAGAGATGGTCTGCCATTTAAATAACAATGGGGATATTTAAACAGTCGTCTTTAAAGTCAAATATTTTTTTCTATTTGCTGTAGATTTTTGGATTTTATCTGTTTTATTTCCTTGGATTTTGCTGCAGCTGCTGCCTGACCTCAGAGGTCATCACCTTTACTGCTCTGCTGGCCGCAGACTTTTTATTTTCCAATCTCGTCATCTTTCTGCTTCTGCATGTTGCTGTCTTCTAACATTTGTTGACAATGACTTTACACCCTGCAGGCATAAAACACAAATCATTCTTTGGTGTTTCTAAGCTGTGAAACTTGTTTTGGGTGAATTAACATCAACTAACTGTTATGCTGTTATCCTATTTCTTTACAGTTGCAACTGAACAAGCAAGATAATCTGTCTTGCATCTTAAAGCAACAGCCATTCATCTGTTTTCTATACCATTGCAATTTCAGTAACAGTAAACAGGATAGTTAACCATGTATAAGGTTTATTTATAGACGTGTTTAACCAAAGATGCAGCAATACGGGAAAACATACAAACTCTGTAAAGAAAGAGTTTGAGATTCAAACTCAAGACATTGTGCTAACAATCCTGTCAACATAAAATTTAATTAAGCAGCTTTAACATTGTTAACCTCAACTTTATTTTTTACGGCGCTTAATAGAGTGTTTAAAAGTAACGTGTTAATGTTATCACCTTTCATCTTCCTTCTTTCATTCCCTCAAGACTCAGTTGTGCAAGTTGATAAATTAATTACTGACCTGCCTATTTTAGTTATTTTTAGCTAAAAATGTTTAGGATTGATTTAGTCATTTATTCAGATTAAAAAGAGACAGAATTTAACTGTGAAAATCTTTCTTGATATGTTGTTTATACTATTTGTTCATCTTTTTGCTTCATATGAATATAAATTGTGTTTTTTGCAATGAATTTATCTGTGTAGTCAGAAAGCAAAGACAATATCTTGTTTTGTCTACAAGGGTTAGTCCTCCGTCTGAGATAACTGGAAAACTTTTTTTTTTTATTTCTGCAGTGACATGACTGAGATGCTGGAAGAACTTCAAGGCCGTGCCACAGATATTCATCACAAATCTTATTACAGAGGATGGCATTTTCCTGCCACAGGTGAGCTCACTCGCACCGAGCAGAACATGACGGGGGATTTCCCCGGAGGTCGCAGAGGGGTCGCTGGGATATCAGGTTAATGAAAACCAACATGGTGCAGGTTGTCTGGGTCTCAAGGAGGTGATAACGCTGGAGACAGTTGGGAAATTTGTAGTCAGTTTTATTAGTGAAGCAGCCCCAGGGAAGTGTTTTAATTTAATTTAAATCCTAATGTAAAGCATGAGTGGACTTTGCAGGTGTTGCAAGGTGCTTCAGAGTGATTAGCATTAATTCCAACTACCTTCATTCACTCTCTGCATACTTTATAAAGAAAGGGTCGCCTGATGATATTAATGGATAATTTTTATTTTCTGTAGGCCATTAAATGTTTAGCCTACATGCAAAACACGTTTTGTTTTGATGCTACGTTCAGAGGCGAATGTAGCTCTGCTCTGAATCCTGTAAGTGACAGGATTCCAGCAGTAAACATTTATTTATATGAAAATATTATTAATTAGTAATAAAACTGCACCACTTAATGTAATCAGTATCCTGAAATAGCTTATTTCACAAAGAAAAATTGTATAAAAGGAGAGTTTTATGCATTTTTTAGGGACATAGTGCCACTTTATAGCTGTTTTTCTATTACGAATGCGTGCAAAACTGTCAATATTCCACTAATGTTTAAGAGACTACACTGTTTTGATTAAGTAATGCAGGAAGCAGAGTTAAAACCACACAGGAATGCATTTGTTCACGTAATAAGTCATTAAAAAACAAGAAGAAAACAGGAAGTGTCATCATTCTGCCACTTTCTGTTTCCGTCTTCTTCATTGTTTGTGCCAGTAGAAACATCCAGTTGTTGATCATGTGGTTCCTGTTTTAAAAAATGTGTTTCCATCGTAGTTTTGCAATATAAACCAAATTTAATACATCCAAATCCTAGCTTCAAAACATTTTGTTTTTTAAATTGGCATGTTTCCATTAAGCAAATTTATAATGAATGGAAATGCAGCTTATGTTGCATTCAGTTATCATGAAAATTCTGGTAATATCTGAAAAGGATTAAAATAAATTTTACTTTGCGATTTGTCACCTTGAAATTGGCCTCTGTCTCTTTAAGAAGCTCCTGCTCTTCCTGTTACTCCTCCATCGTCAGTTTGGTTTATTGATGTGCTGTTGCCTCTTCTTTCCCTGCAGTATCTGAGTTATTTGAACAAACCATCTATTTAAGTGCTCTTTGTATTTATTGCTGAATGTGTTATGGCAAATATTTTAGTTTAGACTGACCATCTGTTGGCTCTTCATTCATGGGTGTATTTTATTGTTATACATATATTTCCCTGGATAATTTTAGGGAATCTAACAGTGGAGAAAAAACAATGCACATCAGTCTGCACACGGCGTGAAATACAGTGAGGCTGATGTGGCTGGGAGATTTTTACAGCTGCAAGAACATTATTCTTGTAGGGTGTGTGTCTTCTGTTGACAAAATGGTGTTTCACTCCTTTTGTGAAGGAGCCTTTGTATGCTTGAATGATTTGTTTGTCAGAGCAAAGTGGTTCATCAAACATATTGGAAATGTTTATATATTGAACTGAGTTAAAAGCAGCCAGAATTCCCCCAGAGATCATGGAGAGCTGCTACTCCAAACCACTTTAAAAGATACTGGAAAGTATTTCACAACTAAATATGAAGAAATCAAAATGGGTCAGGATACTACACGTCTCTTATCTCCACAACCAACGGCTGTTCTTCCCAATAATGCCGCCCAGCTTCGTTAAAGGGGCAGTACTATTTATTTTCCAGGCACATAGCGCCATTTTATAGCACATTCCAGCATCTGTTACCTTTAGTTGTTATGAAAATGCTACATAAGGTCAAATTTGACTTTGCCTTCAAATTGGTCCTCTGTCTCTTTCAGAAGCTCCAGTTTTTTCTGAAACTCCTGGAAGTTATAACGACAAGGCTCCATTATTGACTCTTTAACAATGTTTTTTACCAGCGTTGCTCTCAGAAGTAGCTTTTATTATGAGCTCAGCAGATATTCAGTTCCACCAGGTGTTTGCTAATTGCTTCTGGCTAGTCTGAAGGAGCTGAGTGGAGAGCTGCCCTGTGAGGCAGACGCCCTAAAGCTTAGAGACTGCAGCTCAGAGGAGGAGCTGCAACTCGGCGTTTTGCGTAAGTGAATGGCCATGGAGATTAAATGATTTCTCAAAATAGAATCAATCATCATTCCAGGTATGATTTAGATGAGAGAATAAGGTTGTAACATGATGTGAAGCTCAAAAAGTTGATTTAACACAATACTGAGCGTTTAAATAAAATCAAAATATATATCAAAAACTCATACTGCTCATGTATTTCCCACATTAGTTCATTGATGACAGAAAAATTTAAGAAAATGAGGTTCAGAGTAAAACTGATGTGTTGTTTCCAATGCCGCCCTGGGTAAGTGCCCATGGGTCTCTAAACTCAGCATGTTTTGATGAAACACACCCATGCAGCAATCTCCGTGGCTCACTGACTCCCAACAGGACCAGATTTTTTCCAACAGTAACCGTCACATTTAGTCAGTTCTGCGTTTCAAGCTCTGCCAGAAGCCTTTCTGTCATCGTCCCTCCTTCCACCTTTTGTCTGATAGTTTTCGCTGGATGTCACAGGCAGGCTTCCAAGAGATGCTCCCCAAACTCCGTCCCTACCTCTTCCTACTGTTGTTTATGGAGGAAATATCATCCGGACTCTTATTATTCCAGCTGGGCAGGAGATACCTCTGCCATGGAGCTTGGCCCAGAGCAGAGAACGTGATCAGCACCAACATACATCCTCATCTGTGCCAAATGTCTTTTTCATCCTTTCTGTCCGAGCTCAGAGAAAACAAACAAGGGGAAGTCATTTTACTGCATCGCACTGCCAGAGGGGAGACTTTAAAAAAGGGTGTTCTCCACTCTGTAAGCCTTTTCTTCTGTGTCTGGAGGAGGGTGGAGTCACTTCAGTGTCAGAAATGAGGTAAGAAGTTTTACACTGGGGACTCTGGGGGTCAAACCGGGCTGGACTTGTTTTTTGGGCAGAAGCTGCCAGTTCCAGGTTTTTTCGCAGAGTTTAAGGGTCTTGACGCAAGGCGGCTTCCTGTTCCGAGCTTTGTGTCGGCGCTGTGCTCCAGCTCAGATTGAAGAGTCAGCAGAAGTTTGGTAGAATTTAATATCGCAGCTCCTTCATGATCCAGAAACAATATTTTATCTAAGTGCCGGCACCCCCTAATTGGTGGGATTTAGAAAATTCATTTACAGAGAATACTTTGTTTTTTCTCAGCAGTAAGTAAAGCCAAAACACCTCCTTACGTCTGCACTGAAATCATACACTGTAATGATATAGTGCCCACATAAACCTTGTTTATTAGCTGCAGCTAGGCTTTCTGGGTTTGTCTCATTCTCCATTTGTTTCTTATATTACATTCAGACATCCTCTAAACTCATCAGTTTTTCAAGTGCAGCTTGCCTTCTCTTCACTTTACACATTTCAGGCTGTATTAAACCAATTTACACCACGTAAAAAATTATAAAAACTTTCAATTCTGTCTAACATTAGATATTAGGTATAGGTTTAGAAAATAAAAATGTTAACAAACTAGTCATGAGAAATGAAACTGAGTTTGAAGGAAACTTAAATGAGAAACTTCACAGCATGACGACGTAGGTTCTCTCTTGCCACTCCAGTTTCTCTCACAGTTAGAGAAATTAGCATAAAGCAGTGCTGCACAGTGGGGCGTTTGGTAGCACTGTTGCCTTGCAGCAAGAAGGTCCTGGGTTCGATTTCCGGCCCATTTAAACTTCTGCATGGAGTTTACATGTATTCTCCCTGTGCACCCGTGGGTTCTCTCCGGGTTCTCCGGCTCCCTCCCATAGTCCAAAAACATGACTGTTAGGTTATTGGTCTCTAAATGTGTGTGTGCATGGTTGTTTGTCCTGTCTGTCTCTGTGTTGCCCTGTGGCAGACTGGCGACCTGTCCAGGGTGACCCCGCCTCTCGCCCAGAACTTTAGCTGGAGCAGACTGCTCCTTACTGGGTCACTGAGGATGTTTTCATACCTGATGGTCCAGTACACTCAGTTCAACTAGACCAAAATTGCCACATTTGCTACAATTTTAGCTGTTGCGGTTTGCTTTCGTACTGCATAGAGTAAAGTTACACAACCTGTTCCCCTCCTTGCCTGTGGTGGCGCTGCACCAACAACAACACCTGAAGGAAACAACGGAAAACTCCAAAGAAGACATGAGCACAAAATATAACAAAAATGGAGCGGAGTCAGATTTTAGCAGGATTTCTTTCTTTGGCACAAAACCACAAACCGTTTTTCCTGCTAGCGATAGACTCAAGTTTTTGTTTAGGTGGTATTTACCCAGAATGCCCTGTGCTATAGTCTGCGGTCACATATGCATGGTTCACTTCAACCAAACCAAAGCATAGGCTTGGAATTGGACAAGATTTCACTTTTTTGGTTCACATCAGAGTTTGATTAGCATTCATACTTCCACAAACAAACCAGACTTTCTAGGCAAACAAACTAGAGTTTGGTTAAAGCAAACTAAGCAGACAAAGAATTAGATAAATGCTCTATTGATTGGTTTATTAGGACATCATCTTCTTACTGGGATCAGGAACGTTTGGCCGGAAATGAAAATGTGAAATTATGAGCAGAAGCAGCTTATAATATATTTTTTCCATAGGAGTGTAAAATACTGTTTTTGTGATTAGTTCCTCGGCTGTTCAGCGCCGTCTGCCTGTCCTCTGTACTGGAGGGAGATGTGGTGGTTCGGGCATCAGGTGAAAATCCCTACCCACGGTTCTTTGGACAGGTCCCACTGGGAGGACGCCGCTGGGCAGACCTGGAACACAGATTATGTCTTCTGCTTGGCCTGGGAATACCTCGGAATCCCACCGGATGAGCTCTGGGAATGTCTGCTTAATCTTCAGACTGGCCTTCGGATAAAGGATCCACTTTTTATACGTGAGAAGACCAGG